GCCCAGCCCGCGCCGCCTCCGCTGCCCCCTCCCTCCCGCCTCCTCCTCCCTTCAGTCCTCTGCATTCACTTTCTCTGAGCGTGCCACGACAAAGGGGAGACAAATTACAGAAGAAAAACTTTAAATCAACTTCTGGTCCCCTTTATGTATATGGCACTTTGAATTGTTCTTGTTTTCTTAATTGCTCTTTTCTTCTGCCACAAACGTGTAATCATCTTGCTTTTTTGCATAGTCTTAAGTGCCGATTTAACTTGAAAATACCTCTCAGTGCGTTTTGTTGGAGGAAGAATTTAATAAAATTTGAAAACTTGCTTCTAATTAGGCTTCGCAGACCGCCTCCTTCCCCTCCCCCTCGGTAAATACTTGGGTCTTTCTCTTCCTAGGAGCAGAGGCAGATTTTCTTAGGGCTCTATGTTACCGAACTGAACAAGTAAAGAGGATTCATTTTCTGTTTTCTTTCATCTTTATTCTTTGAAGATAAGAAAAGGGCTATCTTGCACTCTTGATTCCTGTTAATTAGCAAGATTTAAGGAGCACCTCAGAATTCGGGACTAATTAACAATACAATTCTACCTTATATCACTCCTTTCCTTGAGTTTGGATAAAATTGCTTGTGATATGTCTTTGTCTTATACTTCAAAAAATCCTATTTCTCTGAAGCAAGGCAGAGTGCACCGGTCAGGAGGCCAGGCCAGTTCCTACCAGAAAGGCTCTGTTGGTACAAGCCTCCACTCTCAGTACTGGGGGAGCAAGGACGCAGTAGTTTACAAGTCAAATTTTTATAATGTATGCATTATTTATGAAAACACCTTTCAGATATGTATTTTCAAAACCCAAAGCTAGTTTACACTGACAAATAAAATGCCTGAGCTAAAAATTACATTTTGGGCACATCAGAATGCTGGGAATACCATGGGAGAGCTATGCTCTATCCAGCTCACAGAAACCGATATGGCAGTCTTATTTGAAAATATGATTATTTATGATGCTCTCCCTCCTCTCAGCTCCTTTTAAGTTTATCTTCGTGGATCCCTTCTTCCCCCCACTCCTCAGCTGTCTGCATCCACTTGCCTATTTGCTGCTTCGCATAATCTCACTTTTTTCCATTTATTCTCTCCCACTCTCTATTTTGCCCCCCAGAAGCATACAAAAAAAGTAATTTTCTGATTTTTCCACTTTGCTTATTCACAGTAGATCTCAGCTAAAGTCATTGGGATGGCTCTTTCCAAGTCAGAAAGCAGAGCAGCCTCAGCATGAGTGCTCCTTCTTCTCAGGCATTCGAAAGCGTTTTAGAAGCTATTGTCTTCCCCCCGCCCCAAACCAGTGCTCTGTGGCAAATTGTGCAGAACAGAAATGCCTATAATGAATGTATTTAGTGGTGGGTCACGCCAATGAACATTCTGCCCCCATGAAGAATACTGTTCGATAAGTTTGTAGCCCTTTCAAATTGGTGATCCCCAAACCCCATAGACAAACTAGGAAAAGTACCATAAGCAACTGAGTCTTTAGAAACCCATAGCCATCTGGCCTAGATTTCTAACAATCTGAGCCAATAATTATATCAGTTCAGACTTCAGTAAACCCCTTTGCAAAATCCAAAAGAGCAAAGAAAGGAATTAGTGACTATTCAAAGTTGGGGAGAGAATTCAAAGGTAACCTAATTCCATTAGTTCTAGGAGTTTTCACTGTGAATTTGATAAGTCTACCCCCTAAAAGTATACCATTGTTGGATTTGATTAACCTAAGGTATAGCACCTTTTTACCCCAATGTTTGTTTAAGAGATAAGAATATTTTAAGTACTTCTATACCCAAGTGTATTCATGAGCATAATTCTTGTAAAAGAAAGAGCTTAGAGCTTTAGTATAATTTGCTAAAATATTTAAAATGAGTTATGAGTTAAGATGTAGTCATAAAGAATAGGCTTAAATGATGAACTTTTTAAAGAATTTGGACTTGTTTCACGGAGGGTGGTCTTCACCAGACATCATTTCATTTTCAGTTTACTCATCTCTCCGTGAGAATTTACATGTATCTACTCGAGAGTGTAATGCCTTTGATTTATCACTGCTGAATGTTACCTTGCTATTTACTTACTCATGTTTTCTTTTGGTTTTGTCTTTTCCGTGATGGAGGTGGACTCAGAGCTTTGCAAGCAGTAGGTAAGCACTATACTGAGCACACTCCAGCCCTCACGTGGTTTTGTTTTCTTTGTCAAAACATACATATTAGGTCCAGCAACTCGAAATGTTCTCATTTGCTAATGCTAAGGAAACCAGAGAAGGCCCAAAACATTCCACTAATTATTTATTATCTATATTGGGCTTGTGTTAGAGGAGAAAACTTTGATACTGCTGATGTTAGTGGTCATCTGATGATGGCCTGATTGAATTTACTTCTTCTGGAATTTTACCAACTCAATGAACAATGGTAGGCCTTCCACAACATCTCCTCAGATAATAAATGAAGGACTGTCAATTCAATCTTCCTAAAAGTCATCTGTGTGTGATGTGGCAGAGGTTCTTTTTGACAAGCAAAAGAAGTGGTTGCTCTTCTTGCAGTGAAGATGTGAATGATGTTAGGCATGAAAAAAAGAGTATGCCTAAATTTCTTGACTGGAATCGTAGGTAGAGCCAGTCATTGTGGCTATTTTATTCATATACCTTCTTTCATCACTTTAGCCTAATTTGGTTGAAAATTACTAAACCTAGTTAAAAGATACCAGTCAGCACATGCAGTACATCAATAAGCTCTAGTAACCATTTCATCATACTTTTAATTCTGATTGCTTGGGGCTGAGGGAGATGGCTCAGTAGAATAAGCACTTCCCTGGCAAGTGCAAGGGGCTGAGTTCAATCCCCAGTTCTGCCAAAAACTAAAAAATAAAAAATAAAAAATTCTGATTGCGTATCTGTCAAGGAAAATGTAATAATATATATTTAAATCTTTTATATTTACCCTCCTGTTGTAGAGAAATGAAAACCAAGAACACAATTATAAAGCTCAAATGTTTCCCTATTACATAAAGAATAATTACTTTTCCCATCCTGGAATGCAAATTGAAAGTCATTAACATTTCAGAAAATCAAATGTATGAGCCAGTGAGATATCTCAACAAACTAAAGTGCCTGTTTAGGCAAGCTTAGGCAAGTGCAGGGACAGAGGTTCAATCCCCAGCACCACATGCTGCACCAGCCCAGCCCCCAGGGCAGGCTGAGCTGGCCACAGAGTCTGGGTGTGTGTGGTAGCACATGCCTGTAATCCCAGTGAGGGGGAGGCTGAAAACAGGAGGATCACTATGAGTCCAACCTGCATAGTGAAACACTATAACAACCAAATACATTTTAAAAAGAAGAAAAAAATGTACATTTGTTTACAAATATCTTACCTATTAATTTCTATGTCATTGGAATATATGAACTAAAAAGAACTAGTTAGAACAGCATAGTATATTCATTTCCTTCTCACTATATCATCTTTTCCCCACTACAAAAATGTAACATGAATCACAATGTGGATTGGCATATCATTTGGTGTCTTGTGAACTGACATAACATTTCAGACTTTCTTTACAGCCTGTGTTGTAAAATGCCTTGTAGAAAGAACATATGGCCCTCATAGGCCTAAATAATTGCACTACTATGTATCCTGGGAAGTTAGACAAGGAAAAAAGAAGACAAAGGTAGGTAAAGCTAGGGAATCACAATATTCTAAAAATACCTATAATAATAGAGTTATCTTTTAAAGGAACCCATGACTATAGTACCACCACTTTAGGGCTGTGGATCCTTTCTGCATGCATATAAGCCTTGTGAAGTAAGAATAGGAGTAATAATTTGCTATAAAGAATTCCTGAAAGAATTTAAATGATTGGATTGTTTTTGGAAAGGTCTATCATTTTTTCATGACTTTGAAAATTCTAGCAGTAAATGCAATCAAGTTATCATTAGATGACCAGTAATAATACAAGTTTAACATTTTTCTATGGAACACAGTAGGCATATAATGAAGGTTGGTTTCCTTTTTTGTTTTTTAGCCTCTGTACATCTATTATCTGCTCAATACTTAGGGACGAAAAAATGAATTGCATATACAGCCCTTGATAAATTTTTAGTTTTTGGTTTAGATGCTTAAAAATTTTATACTGAAAAGATGAACCTTTCTCCATTTCTATTTATGAAGGGCTCCTGTAAAACATAATTGATAAAACTGGTAGTACTGAACTTTGAGGATTTTAATATTCCAATGTTTATCATGTATACCCAAGTACCTCCAGACCAGAAGCCACAGAAAAATATTTAATATCCAATTAAGAGAAATTTGCCAGATGGTTAATTATGTTTTATATTGGGTCAGGTTCATATCTAATATTTTCCTGTTTTAAAATCATTTAGTCTAAATAGTGTTTTTAAGTACCATGTCATACTGTAGTAGTAAGACAAAAAGATACACATTTATAAGGTATTTTGGTAAGGTAATATCTGTCAAACAAAATTTTCATTTTGAAAGCAATAGCAAGCTCTCCATCAATTATACTACTACTCTGCACTGTCCTCTCTGTGTTCCATTTGTTAATGCATCCAAACATGTAATAAGAACATAAGAGCTTCTTACTGGAACACATTTCTCAGCATAAGATCAAGGATTAAGAGTATATATCTCATCCTTATACCTGTAGAATAGAAATGGACTTCAGAATAGAGTAGAATTTGGACCAACATAAC